ATTTCTTATTGTAGTGCTCTCTCTCTCTCTCTCTCTCTCTCTCTCTCTCTCTCTCTGTAGGTCTTGAATCTCGATTACTTAATATGATAAGTTTTCATGCATTATTTTGCTGTCTTATATCAGTGTTTCTGAGAATGTGTCGGTGTGATTCTGCTAATTCCACAGGGACATTCACGCTTTCAAACCTTGGCATGTTTGGAGTGGATCGTTTTGATGCAATTCTGCCTCCTGGAACTGTAAGTAATGGACACTCAAGACCGTGACATGTTTTCCTTTGGCCCAAATTTACAAATGAATAATTCAACTTATGCACAATAATTTGTTTGGCAGGGGGCTATCATGGCTGTTGGAGCATCTCAACCTACTGTAATTGCAACTGAAGATGGCCGGATTGGTGTGAAAAGTCAAATGCAGGTAATTATTTTTCTTTGTCCTGCAGAACAATAAAACTTATTCTTCTTTGTCCTGCAGTATATGCCTTTAGAATACTTCTTCTGTCCTCTTTTGCATGATGGTTAGGAATGAAGGAATTATCTCTGTTTGTGCAATCTGTTATATTCTGAAGTTGAGATTGTTAATTCATGCAGGTGAATGTCACGGCTGACCATCGTATTATTTATGGTGCTGATTTAGCTTCGTTCTTGCAAACTCTAGCTAAGTTAATTGAGGATCCGAAGGATCTCACTCTTTAGTTTCTTCCAGCCCAATTTATTGTGGATGGCGAATTCCTTCCATGTGACAATGATGATAGATTTTGATTACATCTCCGGAGGTTTGGCAGTTGAAGAGAAAGTGTGTGGCTCATTTTTTAGAATTAAATTGACGTACTGTATCTGTAGCATCAGGTTTCATTGTTTAAAGGGATTTTTACCAATACAGTCCCATGTAATAGTTTTTTATTATGATATGATTTTGACTTTGGCCTTTCCAGATACACGTGGCTTCTTTCAGAGGAGCAAATTATTGAGGACACGGTTTCTATGCAGCCAGCCCGCATATTGTAGAAATGTGGGCTTGGCAATAAATATATATTTTTAAATATAGTTTGATCCTAATTTTAGGGAATATATAATCTTTAATATGGAGATCATGAATATGAAAAAAAAAAATAAAAAATAAAAATTAGCAATAATAATTATATTAAGAAAACATTTGTACTGTTAGTTACACTTGTTTTTCCAATTATAAATTTCCCTTCTCCTTATTAAAAATTCTAAAATATGTTCCAAACCTTTTCCTGGTATCTCACTCTAGCTTCTTTACGTCTTTTTTTGCCATGTAATGATAGATCAGTGAGGTTTTAAGAATGCATAGGTGATATTTTTTAGCTTAAAAAGGAAATCTAATAGCTAATTGATGGCATCAATCAAATCACCACCCTGACACATGAAACCAGGGATCACATGGTGAAATGTTGATCCCTTGGAGTGAAGGAGCTTGCCAAACAGCGCCGTTTCCACCATTGCATGAAGCTCTGAATTTCTCAGCAATCCGAAGAACAGCATTCACATATGATGCAATTGACTGGTACACTAATGATTATCATGTCAAAGAGGACCTCTCTCTACTAGTTTTCAATCACTAGAAATAGGGTTTATATCTCCTTTTTTTTTAAAAATATATATTTATAACTGAGGCCGATGGCTCTAGATTAGCGCCAAAACTATGTAACTGAAAAGCAGTAGATTTGGGAATATTTGGGTGTAGATTGGTATTGCAGGAAATTGATGAAATTCATACTAAAAATCATCTCAATTAACCAAATAAGATCTTATCAAGTTGAGCTGGAAAATAGTGAGGATCACAAAAATAGCAGAAAGCAAGCATTTTGGCGACATAATAATCAAATTGCGATAGCCCGACAAAATTTTATAATCCTACAAACAAAAAAAAGCCACAGAGAAACAAGAAAGCATAAAATTCATCAAATACTTTCATTTCCTTTGGGGTACAAAGAAAGGCAAAAAATACAGCAAGATCTCTTCATATCGCTAAGTTCTTTACAATGTCCAAGCTAATGGCATTAAGAAGCATCAAGCCTAACCATAAATTCAACTCTTCAGCTCAAAAGTTTCATCCATTTGATTATTAAACAAATAGGCAAAGTAGTTAGAGAGAGAGAGGGGAAAGAGGATAGAGGGGGAAACCAAAAAAGAAAGCAATTCGGAAACTTTCTATTTGTTGATGTATCAAATCGAAATCTAATGGAGCTTCACACATTACAAAATATGATATTATGATGTATCTAATCAAAATATAATGGAGCCTATCAAAGTACAGCATATGATGTATCCAATCAAAAGTAGCAGAACCATAGTTGCATTAGCAATCACTATATATAAGATAGGTGGATGGTGAAGGATAGCACTTTAAGGGAATCCAATTTTTTTTGTGGATGTGGATGCTAGTGACTACGATATTTCTATTATTCTAGCAATTTTTTCTGATATAAAAACTCCAGCCACTCAAGTGGAGTCCATTGATTCATATTAAGGAATATGAGAATTGATGGTAAGAAGCTCTATGAATTATATTGTATTGCTTTGAATCGATGTAGGAAAAATTGAATTGGAACAATTAATCGGATATGGGGTTAGAAGTGTTGAACTGGCCTAACCGGGCAAGTTCCGGATAGTAAAAAAAGTGCCAAAAAAATAAAAAATACAAAAAAAATCTAATAAAATATGAAAAGCATATTTAAAACATGATTAAACAAAACGCATCCAAATGAAGTTGAAAATTAATGAATTTTTTTTTTTTAAAGAATCGATTTGTGTGTAGGGGTATTTTGAATTTTTTTTGAAAAAGATGGAAACATGTAAAAATAAGTATTAATGGCCAAAACAATTTCCAATTTTTGCCAAAATGATGAAACATAGTAAAATATATATTACAAATAAAATCCCTTATTTTTTGAGATTTTACATAAATGTTTTTGATTTTTTTTTTAAAATACTCATCCGGTGGCCAGTTCCTATCTAACCGGGCTCTTAGAATTTGAACCGCCCGATTTTTCGTACACTATGAATCCTCATAATTTTTTTTGCATTGAGTGCTATATTGATGAATTTATTGGGCAGCGTAATTAGCAAACTTATTCGTTAATGCACTTGTTGCAATTTGTTTTAGTGGGTTGAAACCCTTACCTTACACAAAGATCATGGGCACTTGTTGCAACTTCACTTGTGAATCATTTACAGGTCTAAATTCAGAAACCATTTCGTACAATTGGTATTTTGATAGACTGAATTGAAACCTATCTTATTATATATATATTCTTCTCTACTTCTCCCATTCATGCTGATTTTGAATGGAAATATGGTTTGATTTAGTGATTCAGGTTGGGAGTGACAAAGGCGAGTTGAGCTCAACCTACAGTATTGTGTCACCGAACAAAGACTCGGATGAATGAAGGTCACAATACGAATTTTGTCCAATGTGAAAATGGAAAACCCCATTTGTTCTATTGTTTTGTATTGATTGTGTTTTGTATAAAGATTTAACTCATTGTAGTGCCCCTTTTGAAATGAAGAGGTAATACTGTATTCTTGAATGGAAGTGGGTATAGCCCGGCTGCTTGCGTGAGGAAACCCCGTTTTTTGGCTTGGACATTCGGTTACTCTCATTCAATGCGTTTTTTTTCCCTATGTGATTTGTTGTGTTTATTAAGATAGTTTATTCTAATTTTAACATAGCCAATACATGCTTCATCAACTGCTTGATTTTGTTATCTTTCTGATTTCTCATTGTTTTGAGGGAATCTCCTTCTAACCCAATGACCAATGTGAACCATAGTTATGAAAACCGGACCCAACCGGCAGTCCCACTAGCAAAACCAGTGTGTCCTGTTCGATATAAGAACCGGTCAAAAACGGTGGTTGACCAGTTGAACCACTTGACCACTGGTTTTTCTGACTGCCGATTTTGTCGGTTCTCTTGATGAACCGGCCTGATCTTTCCTCCCACATCTCTTGCTATTTTTTTGGCCTTATTTTTTTCTTTTTTCTTTTTCTTTTTGTCTTTTCTATTTTGTTTGCTTATGATATTTTATTTCCAAATTCTTAATTGAAAAGATCTCAAGATTTTGACAAATATCGTCACCCTAAATGGTTAAAAGTAGTGGTTTAAAAAAAAGATGAGTGTCTTAGATCGGGCACCCAAAAAACTCATCCGGATCGGTGAATCGGTGATTCGGATCGAGAATTGGTCGAATTGGTAGGATTTGACTTTAAAAAATCCAAACAAATTATAAAAACTCATTATAAATGTTGTTTTTTAGGAATCCAATATGAAATAGGGGTACGACATTTTTTGTATCAATATGCAAATATTGAGATGTTCTTTCTATGTATGAACTACTGTTCTTCATTAAATTTTCATCACACAAAAGGAGAAACATATAATTATCATGGATGAAGTATATAATCATAAATGGACTACAATAAAGCTTACAATTCGTAAATATGACCTAATACCAAAATGAAAGACGAGGCCGTCAAAGTTCATTGTCGATAAATTAGCAACCTTATAATTTCATCATATATGATTATTAAAGCAATGACATAAGCATAATGAAATCAATAGCAAAAATTCACCTGTCCAAGCAGGAGTTTAGCTAGAACACAACCAGTTGATCATATGTCAATCGCTGAGGTGTACTCAGTGGCTCTAAATATCAGTTCCAGCGCTCTATATTATCTAGAATAAATATATGATATATTTGGCTCCCTTTTCACCCGTCAATCACAATATATAAAGGGAAAAGTTTATAAAAGGTTGCAACGTTAAAATGTAGAATCACAGATGTACCTCAAAAATCTATCGAAAATATTATTTTAATGTTAAAATAACCCTTTAATCGATCATCTCGACATTGAGATGTATGAATATGAAAAAAAAAATGTTTTGAGTGCCGAAAATAGTGCATCTTGCAATACATTATCTAGACCGTCCATTGTCAAGATTTTCATATATATATAGATCTACTTGATTTTAACCATTTTTGGAATTTAAAATTTTCTAATTAGGTATGAAAATAGATTTTAAGATAATATTAAGAATTTTTTATAACAAAATTATATGTTATGATAAAATTTTAAGGTGTGCCTTAATTAGATTGTTTAAGGTTGTTTAAGGTTGCAACCTTATAGAAACCACACCCATATATAAATCATCAAAACCAGAAACATGAGTTTTTGCAGTTATAAGGAAATTTGATTATGTAGGAAGCAAAACCCACCAAAACTTTTACATTTCCAATGTCACAGAGCTTGAGCTGGTGTGTATGAGGGTAGACCTATAAACAGGAACGTCATATGCAATCCAAAAAGTTTTACTTGACAAGTAAATGTCGAAGTAAAGGATTTCTTTTAAAAGCAAAAAAAAGTATGTGCATGCAAATGATCAAGTAAAACTAACTTCTCTTGAGATTCTTCATTAGGTTCTTCGACATTTAGAATATTAGAATTCTCATGCAAGATATCTATCACACTGAACTAAAAAGTGATAAACACAAAATACTAATAATATTTGTGTATACAAGTTTGTTACTGCCAGTATGGCAGTTTGTGAATACAAGGACCCCCAATAGCAAACAAAAATAGGATAAAAGCAATACTAAAAAAAAAATTGTAATTTTTTTTTTTTTATCAAATTGATGGAGAAAAGGGGAAGAGCATGAGCTCTACAAAAAATACATAAAATTAAAATATAAAATAAAAAATCACCATACCTGATTTTGATGAAAGTTTGTTTTACCACAATCATTCAGCAAAAAAGAAACGGGTCAAATTGATGAAGAATAGCCACAGAAATAGAGTTTTGGCGGAAAACCCTAATTCGCTAAAAAAACACAATTTTCATTCAAAAAATTCATAATCCAACATTTTTTTGAGTTCAATTCAACCCCAATCGATGTTTCATGGACCTAAAAAGTGATTCCCCTCTATTATTCATCAAAAAACAATGAATTTTGATGAACTTTGA